TTTAATCCAGAGTGTATCTGAAATTTCCTGACCATGTATGGCTAGACCACAAGGGCTCTTTTTGTAGCAGGAACTCCTTTGCATATTAGGTGACACACACCTAATGTAGCCAATCCTCCAAGAGCTTACGGAGCGCTTCTTACAGGGCCTACTGTAAGCTCTTGGAGGACTGGCTACATTAGGGGTATGTCGCCTAATATGCAAAGGAGTTCCTGCTACAAAAAGAGCCCTGCGACCACTAAACTTTATATTAATCTTTCTGATTATGCCTGCCAAAAATATGCATAAACTGTAAAACTTGTTGTTCTGATTCGACTCCATCAGTAACTAACAATGTGCCAACTCTGTTAATTGGTGTAAAGGTCCAGATTCCTGCAAAAGAGGATCGACAGGTCTGGAAGCATTCCTTCCAGGTGCCAGGGAGACCTTTCCAACTTTCTTTATTTTAAAGCACAGTACGAGTGTTGTGTCAACTGAACTTCATTCTTCCGTATAATAGCCAGCGATTGATGGGTGCCGCTGGTGTCAAACCTTGAAGAAACTATCCTGAAGAGACGGCTACGTGTCTAAACAAAGCACAGCAATTGAGCTTCCGTGCAGGTTCAGGGCTTGAATTATGAATGTCTGCCTGCAGCCAGAGTCAGCTGATCGGTGGAGAGATGGGGGGGGGGGGGGGCGTTCTCGGATTTAATATTCAGACTCAAGCCTCAAATTCCAGCTGTTCGTTTTTTGATTTGCTGGATTATGGAAGCTAGGCGCCATTTTCTTTCAGCACTCAGGGTGACTTGCTGATGCTATGGAAGAAAAGGAGCATTTGCTGGAAGGGGTATACAGACAGAGCACTTTGTCACTTGGGACAAGTCCTTGCTCCTAGGTGGTGTAGGAGACCCCTTCTGGGCCATTCAGTCCGGAATTCTTGGTAGGGAGGGTCGCCTGGCAGCCCCTGGCAGGAATTTCATTGTCAGTTTCTTACTTCCTTATTGGGTGACGACAAGTTTGCGAAACTACATGAATAAAAGGCCAATTTCATCCCAGGGCAGGAATAACATTGAGATTTGGTATCTGTGTCACCTTGTGCAGCGGATGGCATCTCTGTGTGGGCCTTTGGGGGCTGAAGGGTCCAGATGGGATCCATAATTTGCCCTCCGCTTGTATAGCAGCCTCTCTATCAGGGACGGGTCGGAGCAGGATCCAGGTTTATACCTGGAGGCAAAAACCTCCGCCAGTCAAGAGAGCTGGAGACGGGACGAAGCGTGCGTCAGGTTTCCCCGTTCCTTCTGGGATTCCCCAGACTTGAACTGGTTCTCAGCCTTCCAATTGCCCATCTTGCATACAAGTTCACGGTATTCAAAAGAGCAGTGGAGAACCGGAAGGGAAACTGAGGCATGGGCTGGGGTGGTGGCGGTAAGAGAATGGCCAAGAGCCAAAGGTGATTGTGATGGCCGAACGGCGTCACTGTAAATCCACGTCCCCCTCAGCCATAGCACAGGAGCTTCCGCTTGCCAGTCCCCACCAAGGCCCATTTCTCTTTTTCGACTCGGAACTGGCAGATGCCTCTGGGAGCAGAGGGAGAGGGCCTTGTCTGAGTTGGTTTTTTATTTATTTATTTATTATTTAGATTTCTATCCCGCCCTCCCCGAAGGCTCAGGGCGGCTAACAGGGCAAAGTGCCAAATAAAACGATAAAACAATACAAAATGTTAAATTACATAACAATTAATAAACAGTTAATAACATCATAAAACATTTTTGGTGCTCCTCTATTCCGGTTCCGACGTTAAGATTTTTAAAAGCAAGATGATGTCCTCAATGTCCTGGCTAGGCAGCTACAGCAGTGCGTGTCCCCACTGCCTTGCCGTCCCCTAAAAACGTCCTGTTCCCACCCATGATGCCCGCATCATGATGGCCATATACGGAAATCATAGGGCGTTGGTGGTACAGTGGTGGTGGCGGCTCCTTTTCAAAAGCCTGGCGGAACAGCTCCGTCTTACAGGCCCTGCGGAACTATACTAGGTCCCGCAGAGCCCTGATCTCCTCTGGGAGCTCATTCCACCAGATAGGAGCCGCCACCGAAAGGGCCCTGGCCCTGGTCATTACATGTTTGATGGACCATGTTTGATGGCCCATGTCGCTCAGGGGTCCTCGCCTTGGAGCCCTGTGGGTGCCATAGTGCCCACCGACATCTTACCCAGTGCCCACCAAGTGTTTTCAGAAAGCGCGTTGGGCCGGGTGGACTCTTGCCTCACACGACTTCTGATTGGCCCCTGGAGAGGCCCACGGGCTCTGCAGATTAAAGCGATGTTGATTGGGCGGCAGTTGACACCAGTACTGGCTTTATTCTCTCACATCTCTTTCGCACTTTGTTTTTTAAAATTGCTCCTCTTCTCCCCTGCATTTGCACTTCCTCTGAGTATATGTTTGGCCCCGCCTCCTGCAGCAGCCATTTTGTGGTTGCACCCACCCCCGCTGTGTCAGAATTCCAAAGGGGCCCACAGGCTCAAAATGGTTGGGGGGGGGGGGGGCTGATTTAGCTCAGTATTGCCTACTGGCAGCAGCTCTCCAAGGTCCCAAGCAGAGAACACCTGAAATCCTGTTAACTGGAGATGCCAGGTACTGAGCCTGGGACTTTCTGTGGAAACTTGGTCTACAGCACTTCCTTTGCAAGCAAGGCGTGAAAGTGATAGCTACCCTCCAGCATCTGGTGCTCAGAGATATACTGCCTCCAAACACAGAGATTCATGGCTAATAGCCATTGATTGAGTTACCCTGCATGCATTCAAGGGCTGTGCTTCCAATCCGGTGTAGGCCTGCAGAATTGCTCACGTTGTTTCCCTCCCCCCCCCCCCCCACCGGGGAAAAAGAGGAATTTTAATTTCTGCTGAACTTTCTCCTCCAGGAGTGGGCAAGAGCAAGAAGGTGGTTAAAACAGCTGGGTAATCCATGCGTGAATTTGCAGTGCATTAGAAGAGGGGGGGGTGCATCTTCCTCCCCTTCCTTCCCACACAAGAAGCAAGGGTGACAAATTCATTTAATTATGCATCTTGGCAGAGAGCTGACCTGACTGGGGGAGACATTCTGTGGAGCACTTAATGGACTTCTGACGGAAGAGGCGCACTTCACCAGCCAAAGCAAAGGGCTTTCTTTGCCTTGATTCTACCTCTCCTGACAGTGCTGAGCAGAGGAGACCAAAGTTTTTTGGGGTCACGTGGGCTACTAGGGAAGCTTTGGGCTATCTGGGCTGAGAGCCAAGGACTACCAAGCAGAGCCGGAATGAATGAGGCTCGGCTGGAGCTCGGCTTGTCCAACAGCAGGTTGTCAAGAACAGATAATGTCGCGGGAAGCCAGATTCAGGGAGCAGGGAGGGATCTGGCTGTGTAGACCTTGGAGAGCTCCTCTGTAAAACATGCAGATCATTAAATGATATGTTAATGGAGCTGTCAAGTAGCTGGTGGCAAGAGTTGAAGCACCGGCCACGGCCACGAAGAAGGCTTTGATGACGGGTCTGTGGCTGATGAAAGGGGCTCTCTTGAAGGGATGGGGGGCCCTGGCCATGGCGGGGTCTGGAAACCCTCAACATGGGCAATGGTTTGCTGTGTTTCATTTCACCTAAGTCTTGACTCCAGGCTCAGGTTCAAAGAATGGTTGTTCTGGTTGGCCCCGTGCCCCGTCACACACAGGCAGTTGGCCAAGCACATAGGAGTACAATAGGTGGGTTAGAACTGAAGGCACTCTTTGTGTTGTTTGGACGTGCGGTACTTGTAAGTCAAAGAGGACAAGGAGAGGAATGAAGTCCGTGTTCACAGGGATGACAGGAGACAAAACTCACGGATAACTCCCAGGGGTGGTGAGTCCTCCCCCGAAACAAATTCCCTGTTGCTGCCCCCCCCCCCCGGCAGCTTTCACTCCCCATGTAGTAAAGTTCTATAGAGAGAAGAAGAAGAAGAAGAAAACCTTTATTCGCATAGTAAAGTTCTATAGGATGAATGATGGGGATGCGGAATGGTTGATCTCATCCGATCTCAGAAGCTAAGGAGGGTTTGTATTTGGACGGGTGATCAGCATAGAAGACTCTGCAGAGGAAGGCCGTGGCGAACCCCCTCTGCTTCTCAGTTGCCTCGAAAGCCCCTTGCTGGGGTCGCTGTAAGTGGGCTGTGACTCCACGACATGTACATACACAAAGGATGAACTGAGTATTTATTTCCCTTAATCATCTGAAGCATGTCTGCTATGTGTAGCAGGATTCTTTCTCCCCTAATAATGACTTTTACCACTCCGTCACTTCTCCAAACTAGAGTTATCCTGGTTCAGACTGAATGCTGGTCTTACATTATGTATGTGAATTCAAGTTTCCATTCAAATAAATAGTCATTAGTTATTTTAAAAGAGGCAAGAAACAGTTGCAACTCACAGCGAGAGGGTAGTTTTGTAGAAGACTGCTGCAGTAGCAGTCTGTTCAGTGTCCTAGAGCATGCTCAGGGTGATAATACTCAGGGTAGGATACCTAATTCTTACATTTGGGCATCAGCAGAACACTGCCCGTGAGAGTGGAGGCTGCCCTTGGCCACTGGGAGGGCCATTCCTTTGTGAATTTGGGTTATAATGTCAGAAGGGATTGTGCAGAAGCCCATAACAACAGCTGAGCCAAAGCACCACTGAAAGCCGAGGTGTTCCTGATGATAGTTCTATTTAGGAGGGGTCTGCCTCTCACCCTCCCCCCCCCCCGCAGAAAAGAAGTTGCAGAAGATCTCTGAGTCTCCTTCTGCCCAACACCCTGGAGAGGAAGTAGCACTCTTGCTATTGGTCCGCGGCTTTGTGGGAAGAGGTAAAGTAGGCTCTACTCTGGTAAACTTCACCAGGAGCAAGGACGTGTTCAGCTCTTGTACGAGCGGCCCGTACTCCCGCCTTCCAGGAAAGAGGCAGGGATGCATACAGACAGGACCAGGCCATTCCCTGTTTGCCTAACCGCTGTGCTTCCTTCTCCCCTCTGTTTGGTCCCTAAAGCCAGCACAAGCCCCACGTCAGGACTGGGCACTGCGGCCATCGTGGGCATCCTCATTGTTATCTTCGTCGTCTTGTTGGTGGCTGTGGACATCACTTGCTACTTCCTAAACAAATGCGGCCTTTTGATGTGCATCGCCGTCAACCTGTGCGGCAAGTCTGGACCCGGAGCCAAGGGCAAGGACATGGAAGAGGGCAAGGCAGCTTTCTCGTGAGTAAACAGAAGCTCAGAGCTTACCCTCCCTGTGGCCATCTAGTATCCCCTCGACTAGTTTTATTTATTTATTTATTAGTTAGTTAGATTTTTAACCCGCCCTCCCAGTTCAGAGCGGCTTATATAAAAACAGTATAATTTAAAACAACAAGAATTCTTAAAACCGTAGACATAATAGTACAATAAAGTGCTCGTGCTTAGTTTCCTCATCATACGGTCAGTTCCTTGATCATCTTCGGCTATCCTGGGCAGTCAATTCAGGCAGTAATTGGAGGATCCAGGGGATCAGGGCTCTCTCATCAGGTGTCAATAGTGGCAGCGGCTCCAAAAGCCTGGCGGAAGAGCTCTGTCTTACAGGCCCTGTGGAACTGCAACAGGTCCCGCAGGGACCCGATCTCCTCCGGGAGCTCATTCCACCAGGCTGGAGCCGCCACCGAGAAAGCCCTGGCCCTAGTTGTCACTAGCTTGGCCTCCTTAATATTCGGGAGGACTAGCCAATTCTGGGTCCCCGATCGCAGCGCTCTCTGGGGGGGGGTACATATGGGGAAAGGCGGTCCCTCAGATATGCAAGTCCCTGGCCACAAAGGGCTTTAAAGGTAAGAGCCAGCACCTTGAGCCAAATCCGATATGCTATAGGCAGCCAGCGCAATGTCTTTAGCACAGCTGCGGCTTCTGGATTTGAGACAAGGGCAGCCCCTTCCCTCCCCTCCCCCCCCCATTGCCTTGTGATCATCGCAGTGAATCCACAACAGATGCTTTCTGTGGCTACAGGGTGCCTAGTGTCTAGGGTTGCCAGCTCCAGGTTGGGAAATTCCTGGAGATTGGGGGGGGGTGGAGCCTGGGAAGGACTGGGTTTGGGGAGGGGCCTTAGAGGGATTATAATGCCTTAGAACAAGCCTTTCAAAGCAGCCGTCTTCTCCAGGGGAACTGATCTCTGTTGTTCGGAGGCAGCACTCTATATCATGGTTGCCACTGACTCTTTTCCGCCCACCTGAAGGCCGGCAGCCCTACTAGCAGCCCAGGTCCTGAGGGACCTCCAAGGTGGCCAGCATTTATCTTTGAGCCCATTCAACACGTTGGCAGTTGTAGTGTTTGTAATCTAACCCTTTTCTGTGCAATCGCAGTACTTATTTATTTATTTATTTATATGACTTATGAATTGCCCGCCCTTGCAAGCAGGGACGGCGCGATTTACAACCTCAAAAACATTTGAAATACATTAATATGTAATCAAAGTTACCAACAGTAACAAGTCTTTTAAATTCCACAGAAAAGAGTCCTCCAAACAAAAGCAGTATAAGAACATAAGAACATAAGAGACGCCAATGTTGGATCAGGCCAAAGGCCAATCCAGTCCAACACTCTGTCACACAGTGGCCAGAAATACCAGGTGCCCTCAGGAGGTCCGGGGGGCCGGGACAGTAGGAGCCCCCCCACTGGTGAACCCCCCCCCCCCAGGCACCAAGAAGACAGAGCATCACTTGCCCCAGAGCCCCTATCTATACCTTGTGGCTAATAGCGACTGATGGACCTCTGCTCCATATGCCTATCTAATTCCATCACAGCTTGGCAGAAACAGCCCACTAGGCAGGTGCAGGGAAAGGTCCTCCGAAGAGCTGGGTAGGACCGGGCATAAACCAGCTGAGGAACTAAAGTTCGTCATGAATTTTGGGGAGTTTGTGGTTTGCAAAGCAATGTTCGCAAACCGAAGAACCACCACGAATTTTGGTGTGGTTTGTGGTGGTTTGTGAAGAGCAGAAACCAGGGATTTATCCCTGTTTTCTGCTCTTCACACAAAAAAACAGCTGGGCGGTGGGGAGCTTCTTAGAGCCTCTCAGCTGTTTGGAAACCCCTGCTTTCTGCTCCCCTTGAAAAGCTGCAAGGAGCTGAAAGCAGGGTTCAAATGCCTTGGAGCCATTTAAACCAAACAGTTGTGTGGCGGCCCCTACTGCTCAGCTGTTTGGAAATCCCTGGTTTCACAGCAACCCCTGGGCGGCGGTTTTCCTCATCCGCCCAGGGGCCAGCTGCAATGTTCCCTCTAAGCTGTAGAGTCCTGTGAGCAAAAATTCTACTTTGTGAGCTACCGGCATTAAAGTTGTGAGCAGGTGGTTTGGCTGCTGCATAAATTAGTGTGTTCTGGAGCCATCCTTCCTGAGCTGAGACAAAAATGTGTGAGCCGGAGGCTAAAAAACTGTGAGCTGGCTCACACTAACTCAGCTTAGAGGGAACACTGGCCAGCTGTTTTATTTTTGTTAGGATACAATCCTACGAACACTTTGTTGGGAGTAAGCCCCACTGAATAAAACGGAGCTTACTTCTGATTGCTCTGTTTGTGTCGACGAAGGGTCGGCAACCGGCAGCGTCTGGGCTGAATCCGGCCTCCTGAGAAATAACAGCCTAGAAGCAAAGGAGCTGTGGAGGGAGCGTTTCCAGAGGCAACAGAACTTATTAGCAGATGGTTATTAGAGGTGGGATGGGAGGGGGCCCTGCGGGGGGAGCAGCTCTCGAACACACACGGACACGTGGAGCTCCCTTGCACTGAATCAGAGCGTGGATCTGTCACAGTCAGTATTGTCTACTCAGACTGGCAGCAGGGTCTCCGATGGAAGACTTTTGCATCCTCTCCTACCTGGGCGTATAAGTGGTGCCGGGGATCGGACCTTGGACCTTCCTCATGCCAAGCAGAGGCTCTACTGTCGAGCCCCCCCCTTTCTTTATCAGCTCTAGAATCTTCCGCATGTCTGTGGCACTACCATCTCCTCCTCATCCAGGCCTCTTCCCTCGCTGATCTTTGTTTTATCTTTCGTTACAGTCCTCGCTCCTTCAAGGTTCCTTCCCCTCCTTCCGTCTCTTATGAACGAGTCGGGCTCAAGGCAAGGGAAGGCAGATGTCTGAAAACGGGGCAGCGATCCTAACAAACGTAACCCTTTCTCTTCTACAGGAAGGATGAATCCAAAGAGCCCATTGTGGAGGTGCGGACGGAGGAGGAACGGACCCCGAACCACGACGGAGGGAAACACACAGAGCCCAACGAAACCACACCACTAACAGAGCCCGAGTACGTTGAGAACCGTGTAGGGTCTCCTCCCAGCGTCTGCCTCGGTCCCTGTTCCAGGACCTAGAAGACAAGTCCCTCCGCAAGCCACGCTAGTCCTTTGTGTGAGATCCATCCCTGGGGAGGGGAGGTGCCAGGGAGGAAATCTGGCATCTCCAAGCCGGGTCGCTGAAACGTGCTCCCAAAGAGGAATCCGAAAGGGTTTGGGCTGAGGGGGTTCTCTTCATGAAGGGGGTGCTTCGAATCAGGGCATGCTCTTCCAACTGTCCGTGCTCTCTGGGTCCCCTCCTCTGTGCTCTAAGGTGGCTCAGCCAAGTCAGCCTCGCCTCCGAAAGGTTGGCGCTCTCTTGCTTCCGTGTCCGTCTGCCTCCCTCTTATCTGTGCATGGAATAACCACACGTTGTTTCTGCAGTCGCATCAACTCACACAACTGCCTGCCGCTTTCATGGGCTTCATTGTTGGTTTCTCTCTCTGTCTCTCTCTCTCTGTCTCTCTCTCTCTCTCTCCCCTCCCCCCTTTTTATTGTTCCCCTCACAGGCACCCCACCGACACTGCGGCCACCGCCGAGGATATGTTGCCGTCGGTCACCACCGTCACCACTAACTCTGACACGATCACTGAAACTTTCGCCACGGCTCAGAACAGCCCCACCAGCGAGACCACCACCCTCACCTCGAGCATCACCCTGCCAGCCACGCCCATGCCCGATTCCAATTCTGTGGCACCCAATCAGGGCACACCTAAAGCCACGGCAGCCTCTTCGCCGCCGCCCACCTCCACTCCCAAAGTCGCTCCCCTCGTTGACCTCAGCGACACCCCGGCTTCCGCTCCAGCCACTGGCAACTTGTCATCAAGCGTCCTGACCAGCCAAGGGACGGTGCTGAGCCCCAGCACCACGGCTCCAGCCCCGGAGGCGTCCAAGGCTCCCCCAGCGGCTAGCAAGTCCCCCGCCCCTCCGCCCCCCAACCCTGCGAGCCTTCCGGCCCCGTCAGAGCCAAAGAAGGAGGCCTCCAGCATCAAAAGCCCGGGAAAGGAGGCCGCCCCTCCCAATGCGGTGAAGAGTCCTACAGAGGCTGCCAAGGGCGCGGCCCACCAGAAGAACGAGCCGGCCACGGGGGGTGCCACGAATCCCACGCAGAACGAGGACTTTAAAATGGACGAGGGCACCTTCAAGACCCCAGACATTGATCTGGCCAAGGATGTTTTTGCTGCTCTGGGCACGGCGGCTTCCTCCCCTGGGGCTGGAGGCCAGGGGGCGTCCCCCGCACCGGAAAGTTCTGCGTCACCAGCACCTGCAAAGACAGAGTACGCCTTCCCCCTTTAATCTCCTCTGTCTGTGTGCCGTGTCTCCGGTCTGTGCTGTGTTTGGCTCTGCGTTCCATGTGCGTGTGTGTGTTGAGTTTTTAACCTGGCTGTTTTTCTAAGCAAGCTAACCCAGCTCTTTAACCGCATAACCCTAATGGAAGGAACTGAGGCGCCCATGGATGAGAGGGGGCCGCAACTGGTCTTGATAGGCACCCCCCCCCCAATCTTTCCCAGTGAGGTCTACCCAATTCTGCGACAGGGGTCCAGGCAACACCATCTTAGCTTCTAAGACGACTTGGTACTGGCAACCTGATCTTCTAGTAAATCATGTGGCTTGAAAGATTACCCAATCTCGTCAGATCTGGGGAAGCTAAGCTGGATCAGTACTTGGAGGCAGGGCCAACCAGGGGAGGCTTTGCAGAGGAAGGCACTGGCAAACCACCTCTGCTTCTCCCTTGCCTCGACAGCCCCTTGGGTGGGGTCTCCATACGTTGGTTGGGACTTGATGTCCCTACGTCCAGGTAGAAAGCCCTGACCAGGGCGGCCCAGGCTAGCCAGACCTTGTCAGATCTTAGGGTTGGCCCTGGTTAGTATTTGTAAGAGACAGGGTTGTGCCCCCATCTTTCTTTGTAAATTCTGCCGTCAGGGCAGACCTCATTGTTAGATGCAGGACCGTGGGTGACTCTTCCGAGTGAGAAGTGGTTCCTGACGGTGACCAGCAAGAGCCAAGTGCCTCCTTCCCTCCACCCCTTCCGTGGAGCGAAATGGTCAGATAGGACTGACCGTTGGCTGCTGCAGAGAAGATGCTTGGTGGTGGAGGGACAGGAGACCACGTGTGGGCATGGAGAGTTCAGAGTAGCAATGGAGAGGGGCCAGACCGTGACTCTTTCTAGTCCACCCGGTTCTTACGTTTGAATCAAGAGGAAAGTGGGGCCTTGATAATGCAGGTTCCCAAGAGAGCTTCCCTCTCTCGTCGCATAGCACAAAAGATGCAGTCCTGCGATGGATGCTCAAGCCTGGAATCTTTTAACTGGGCCTGATGGTTGTGGTTTGTTTATTTATTTATTTATTTTTGCAATTTCTACCCCGCCCTACCTTGTGATCGTGTTATTCAGCATCTGTGCAGAGCACGGCTTTATAAAGAGATTCCGATTGCTTAGTGTTCCGGCCCTCAGGTAGAAAGAGTTTAAACCTTCCGAACTCTGGACGTCGGATGGTTTCCCTGCCTTCTCCCTGTAATTTCCCTGTTATCTAAATAAAGGTTTTGAAAAAAAATTTAAAAATAAAAAGATGTAATAAGGGAATAGAAGTAGCCCTTTGGGTGCCCCCGGTCTTTAGCAGGCAATACCCTCTCGACGTGTGTTCCTTTTTGCTTAGGAGCCATGACAACAAGAAACAGGAGACTGTTTCTGTCAGTGACCGGCTAAATAAGAACCTGGAGAAAGCAGAGCCAGGGGAGCCGTGTTTCAGAACTGAGGGGCTTCCGGAAGAAGGGTCTGTGTTCTCCCACACTGGAGGGCCTTTCTCCTTCTTTCTCCCGCCGCATTCTGTTCAAGGCAGAGCTGTTGACCTTTCTTTAACTGGCAATGTTTTGGTGACTCTTCCGACAGGAAAACCCCCGTAGAAGAAAAGCCCGCAGTTCAAGCCACAGAAGCCAAGACAGCCCCTGCAGAAGTGAAGACGGTGCCCAACGAAGCCACGCAAACAAATGAGAACGAAAGCAGAGCATGATGGGCAAGCCAGCCAAAACAAAACACAATAAAACAAAATTGAAAGAACGACTTCACCTGAGCATTTACAACACGACACGCATCTCACCCCTCTAGTGTCTTTGCCTTTTTTTAAAAAAAAAGAGAACAGACAAAAATGCATACATAGGGGGAAATGTTTTCTTTTGTAGGTTTGTAGGAAAGATTTTTTTATTTCTTGTGCACTTGCTTTTAAAAAATATATAATACTTTTTTTTTTTGAAGGATAAGCCCATGAAACCAACCCCCCCAAAAAAAATTGGGACACCACAGCCCTTGCAAAATATCCCTGATGAGTTCTAAACAAAAGCGAACTGCAGCTTGCGTAGGAGACGCAGAGGAGAATTAGGAAGCCGTGGCGCTGCCGGGGTGAGCTGACGGCGCCGCCAGTTGCGGCCAGCCGCAAATCCTTTATTTTTATACTTTTCAGTTGAGTTGAGAAAAATCTGTAAACAAAGTTATCTTTTTTCACTCCCTCCCCCGTTTTTCCACCCGCCCGTTTGCTCTGGGTTTGTTCTATATGGGAAGTTGTCTTTGCCTTTCCGAATGGAATTCTGTCTTGTGTTCTGAAGTCCCAGGGCAGCAGAGATCTCCTTGAGTGTCTTTCGCACCAGCACCTTTTGCAGCGAATGGGAAGGCTGAGTGAGCTCTTCCCAAAGTTCGTTTGAGCAGTGCCAGTGCAGGATACGCCCCTAGTAGATTTTGCCCCTTTGGGTATGGCTTCTTTTAATTCCAATATATATATATATATTTGTTGCATTTTAGGAAGAATGCCGTTGGGCAGCATTGGGGGATATATGCAT